TGATTTGGTTAAAACTTAGATTATGCGAGTCACTGATCATGTCAATAATTTCTCATTGCTTTTGATATTCGGAAATACGACCATATATCCTCAGCTATGCAAGAATCAGGATTGTTATGATTTAGAACGCTGTGCTGCATATACTCACTAACACACATACAGTTTTACTATCTCTTCAATCTGCAGGAGCTTAGAACATTCTCATCAATTAATAGTTTCACAAATATGATAGAACTGACCGATACTTGAGGGAAATCCATTATAACGTTTTCAAAAAAACACTTCAATTTGTTATTTTCATCTGAAAGTGTGTTTTCTATACAAAATAGTTTTTTGTCACTTCACGGAACAGTTTAGTTTTGGTCATCCCCAAACACAAATCTTCTATTTTCACACGTTACTTTTCATATAATGCACCCAATTATTATAATCAACTATCCTGTGAGTTTTGATCGTATAAAATAATTCTATTATGAATGTTAGAATTATGTTGTATATTTCTTCATTGTCTTTAGGTAAAAGGACTGTTATATTGATTGAAAACGAAACATTCAAGAAAAGCAAATTATTTAAGAAATCCGTCCAATACAGCTCGAAGTTGGTACATGTGAATGGGATGTGATTTATATCCGCTAAAGAAAAATTGTCACATGAGCATAATGGAGAGGTGGCTCCAAAAACATTCTTAACTGTCTAGTCTCTTGTCCCCGACCTTGGTGGCATCAACTAGTTTCCTGATCTCATCATCACAGTATCACTGTTAATTCGACTTTTTTCTTATTGTTATTTAATTATTGCTATTCCCAGGTTGAGTTAAAAATGATACTCCGCCTATTCACCTTAATACTGAGTTTTTTGTTCCAATTTTACTTTTTATGGTCAATGAAGATGTATTATTATTTTCTTTTTCCCGTAGTGTGCGCTGGTCTGGCCCTATCCCCCGAAGTCCCCTGGCAAGCCATGATGAACCCCTCAGTTCCAGACTTCAGCCCACTTGACCTGAGAAAATAGCGAACGTCAGGCGCTTTGATAAGCCAAGGTCTCCAATGTTATTGAAGAAGACCCCATGCATTGGCCCATCCTTATCCGAGTTCATCAGCTGCTCGGGCAGCTGCCCTAAAGAGAAATGCTTTCTCATGGTCACGGACCATGCAGAAAAGGGGATCTGAATTCTTGACGACTTTACGGGCTATATCCATTACCAGTCTGTCACACTCCAAACTCAAAAGTTCACAGCTTCCATGTTGTCGGGGGAACTATAACCGTGAAACGGACGATTTGGAATGCAAACTCCTATAGAGATACCTCATTTTTGGGTCTTTACGTCGAGTTGATATAGCTCCTCCACTTCACTACTCCAAACGAGTAGAGTAAGATTGAAATGGCAAGCATATTTGTTGCAGCAACTTTGTTCCTTCTCCAATAGTTTTGATGACGAGATTTGTCAAAGTTTGTGCTGATACTTACTTCTTCACTGCTGTTTCCTCTTGTGAGTGGCGTTGTTCCACCCCGAGGTAAGTATTGATCTCTCTGGCATCCAAATGTTGTAGGATGCTTTCATCTACGAGCTGCACATCCTCTACGAAGTCCCAGCATCGTCCTCTCTTGAGATGGACCATTGCACATTTGTCCATCCCAAATTCCATACCGAAAGCATGCGTGTACTCTTTCACCACCTTCAAGGACTGATGGAGATCCTTTCCTCCAGAGGCATAAAGTTCAGGATCATCCATATAAAACAAATGGGTGACCTTGTGCCTCCGGTTTCCGGGATGCCACAGTTATATCCTCGAGTATTTCTGAACGCAACGAATAATGGCAATAGTGAGATGCAGAAAAGAATAGGACTGAGGGAATCGTCCTGAAATACACCCTTTCTGAAAGTGACCCACCCTGTTTGGGCTCTGGCTAGACCAAATGTTATGGTGAAGTGAGTTCGTCAAAGTGGTATTTGTTGTTCAATGCATCTCACTATTACCGCAAGGCATCTGAGTAAATGAAAGATGAGCACATGCGATATTGTATCAAATACCTTACGACAATCGATCCGGGACATAGAGAGGTTACGAGTCCAGCATTACACACCTATCAATGAGCAGGTTCCCCTTACATCCAGCTACTCCTCTCTTCGACCCTCTCTGTTCATATATCCGTTCGAACACTCGGTCAACTGCGGTGACTATTCATGTGTATAAGAATCTTGTAAACAACTTATAACACGAATTCGAACATGTTATCGGTCTGTAATTCTTAGAAATCGACACATCTCCGCTTTTGGGATGAGAGCGGTCCGCCCCTAGACAATTCAATCCGGAATCGGCTGCTCTTCGTCCAGCCATGAGTTGAAAACTCTGGCCAGATGGCGGTGGGTGCTTGTTAGTTTTTCCACCAATATGTGTCCAGCCCATCTGGGTCTGGAGTAGCAAAGTTCTTGGAAACCACAAGGGCTCTTCGAACGTCATCCGGGGTTATCGGGTTGCGCAGTTCATTGAGCTCAGGCTGTCGAAGCTATCTGTTCAAAGATCCGAACTGCGCTAGGACTGGAGTGTCTGAGTTGAGTGGCTGCGGGTGTTCATAGGTATCCTTCCAGAAGGATTCCACCTGATCAACGGTCGGCGGATTATTCACAACACGTGGATACTCTTGGAATAAGCGAGAATATTTGTCGCGGTACCTAAGGTTTTCCGCTATACTTCTCGCTCGCTCCACCAGTGACTTTTTTGCAGCCACTAGCATTCTTATTCTATCAAGGCAGTGCCGTGGCTGGGAAGAAGCCATATAGCCCTGCTGCCGAAGATAGGGTGTTTCAATTGCTTGAAAGAATTAAATTTCGGTATACAATCAACTAACACAATATACTAAGCATATTTTCTCTTGCTGAAGCGTGAGTGTGAAGCGAAATATCCAAAATGGTCTCATTGCGGGACACTAACGAGTCGATTGATCGTTTTCATCACCCATTCAATCTCAATATACCACACTCGCTCTGTTCAGTACTTTCAATAGAAACAAAAATATGTTCTTCTGTGTTTCAGGTATTCAGTGCAGGTGTACCTCAGGTGATGCGGAATCCCCTGGCGCAGTGTCAATTTCGCGGTTCAACGTTGTCCGTAAACGGTGAGCTTCAACAACAAGCAGCAGCGTTTGCCAGGAGCCGTCAGCCGTCGATGGGCATCGACACAGACATGGTTAGCGAGTTCGACCCGAGCAGCTCAGACTCGGGCGTGGTGGCCCAATGTACAGCAGTGAAACCTCTGAAGTTGAGACTCTGTAAGCCGATTTTCGGCCGTAGTAAAATTACCAAAAAACGTAGCAAAACTGAGGAGAAGACGTCTCAGAAAGTGTCCTCGCCTAGTGAAAAAGTGGTACTAGAACATATTGTGCCGCGAGTGCAAAAACCCAGGGACCCAGAACGTGAAAAACGAAGACTAGCTCGGAAGAAAGAGAAGAGAGCTACGCTGATTTTGGGGCTTATCATGGGGTCTTTCATAGCGTGTTGGCTGCCTTTCTTCTTCATGTACATATTGAGGCTGGCCTACGATATTCCCGGATTCGCCTTCTCGACGGCCTTTTGGCTCGGTGAGTTTCGATACAATGATCCAACAAGGTTCAAAGTTCAAAAAAGTTAATATAACACAATAAAACATCCACTACAATGACTCGATAAGTTTCAATACAATGATTCAAGAAAATTATAGCTCATATGAAAGTAAATATAACAAAATATCAACTACGATGACCTGACAATGTGTAATTCATTGTTTGCTGTCACTGAAGAAGATGAATTCCATTGATTAAGAGTGAAAGCATTTTCATAAGAAGAGATGTCATCGCCTTTTCTCACTGAGGCTTGTTCTTTGAGCGATCGATGATGAAGCTTAGCTTTGCAACAGATCGTTTCAGAAGTCTTGTACATCATTGATATTCGTGATTTGAGTCATCTATTGAACTCATAGATAATATAATTGTAAGGACAAATGTGTTTCAGCAATAGACAAGTTCAACAATGCATCCTCAGTTTAACCACTCATCACTGATGAGACTTGTTTGAAGGTGGTTTCTGTCATCATCTGGCACTCCTCAAACTGAACTGTCATTTTGTTGTCTGTCTCTTTATACGGTCAGAGCGTCTTGACTCAGATATTTCAGGTACTTTAGGAAATTTGCCTGTATTTGTTCTGCATCATCAAACCTTGCAACACAAGCCATACAAAACAAACATAATTTCCCCCCACCAGAGAACATAAAACTATATATATATGCAGAAAAGTGGGAGTATATTCAATTATATCAAGGTTTGCAAGATTCTATCTGATTTTTATTTAACATTGCACGTATGCATTTTTTGTACTAGGAATAGTTTTTGTGCTGAAGACGACATGCCCCATAACAAAATTCCATATGATAGTCTGGATTGTATTTCCGCAAAATAATAATTTCTAAGAACATTTATATCAATTACTCTCTGAAGACATCTGATCTGGTAAAGCTTACTAGAATGATTTTTTCCATGAGATCATTGCAAGCTTGTTGATTGAAATTGTGAGATTTTTGTGATACTAATATGGAGAAATCATCAGCGTATAACGTTAATTTAAAATGTGAGAGGTATTTTACAATATCTGCTATGTACATTGAAAATAGAGCTGGAGCAAGAACACTTCTCTGAGGAACTCCAACTTCCACAGGTGCAAGATGAGAGTGGTGAATTGTGTTTTGACCGCTATTCTCATTGCAAGATATTTGTACATACTGATATCTGTTTTTGAGAAAAGATTCGAACCAGCTAGAAGAAGATCCCCTGATACCATAAGACCAAAGCTTGTCAAGCAGTCGATCGTGTGGAACACAATCAAAGGCTTCACTTAAGTCACAATATATGCCTATAGGGCTCTTTTTTGCCCAATTCATTGAGAATGCGTATATATGTATCTGTGGTTGCCGTAGATGTAGATTTAGATTTTATGAATCCATGCTGTTCTTCTGGGATAATTCTCAACCTTGCAATAAATGAGTTTAGCCTCTCTAGCAAACAATATTCAAAAAGTTTGGAAAAAACTGATGTGAGTGATATGGGTCTATAGTTATTCATTATATTTTTTTCCTTCTTTTTATGGAGTGGAATCCCTTTCGCTATTTTGAGAGCGTCAGGAAATATGCCTGTGTTATATCGTCTATAACCGGTTTGGGAGCACCTATGAAAAACTGTCCAGTAGGTTTTATTTTTATTTTCAGATAATTGAATTAATTGGTTATAATCTGTTTTCCGTTAACCATCTGTTTTTCCGTTAACCAGCTGTCGCACCCCTACGAACGACAACCCTCAGAAGTCGAAACTTGTGCGAGCTAAAATAATGATTTCTTTTACAAGTTTCCACAGTATTATGGTATTTTCGTTTTTGTATTTGATATTGACCTTTCAAAATAGGGTGATTCTTCTGAAGAATTTACAGATCTTCCAACTGTACACTCGACCTTTTGATTTCATCGGTTATCCACGATTTTTACACATTTTTGAGGATTTTTTTCTTCATTGGAAATGTCCCAAAGAAATGACTTTGTAATGTATTCGAGAATTTTTTATATTTTTTATTGCATTATAGTGCATCATATGTATCGCGCCGAAATTCATTTTGTGAAATTTGGGCAAAGAGTATTTTATTGCAATAGTCTCTGAAACAATTGACCTTTTCAATATGTTTACAGCATAACTTATGTGAGTTGATTTTAACAATTATTGTACTATGATCAATACATATGTTAGTAAAAATATTGTCAATTTTTGTATTAGAACTTGATGATATTCTTGTAGCCTGATGAACAATACTATGAAGGCCGTATTGTGCAAATATATCAAGTAGTTCCTCTCGTTCATGTGATAAGATTTTGAAATCTATATTAAAATCACCTCTAAGACCCATAAAAGTGAGTTTATGCTAAATATTTGGTGTAACATTCCCTGAAGTTTCTGGTAGAATGAATGGATGTTTTCTGTTGGTGATCTATAAATTGTAACTATTTTATGAGTTTCAAATACACATCCACAACATTCGAAAACTTTTTCAATACTTAGGTTGTTAATATTTAAAGGAGTTGTCAAAAGTTCTTGTTTTGCCCACAGGGCAGTACCACCACCCTTGTACATACCGCGACAGAATGCACTCGCAAGGTTATATTCATCAATTGAAAAATTACTCACCTCAAAGTCCTTCAACCATGATTATGTTACTGACAAACACATTGGTTGCTGGACAGAAAGCTCTACTTCGAGCAAACTCTGCTTGCTCCTTATACTTTACATATTTGCAAATAAAATGAAGTTTACTTTCCTTTCGTTCCTATCATCAATATTTTTGCTTCTGCTATCTATAAAAAATTTATGCTATTCCTTTGAGCATCCGTATACTGCCTATAGCGCCTGAAGTCAAATCTCTTGAAACCTACTCCTCTGGGCCAAAATTCTGGTGTATAT